AAGCACTAGAAATCTGTCGAAGCCCTCGATGAATGTTAGCCACCATCACCGGAAGAAGCGAAAGTTCCTTTTTGTAGGCAAGCTGAACTGCTGGGTAGAGCACCTCCAATGGCAAGATATCACTAGACTGATATGGGACCACGCATTTCTTTAACCAGATAGCGAGGTAACCGACGAGAAGGGTCATCGGTCGAATCGGCGCGGTCGCATGCCACAAGAATGATTTGAACTTGGTCCCTGTAGGAAAACCACTCTCAGGACTGCTAATGGTATAGGAATGGGCGTCAATCTTCTTCAGTAGACTATTAACCCCTAAAGGAGTGAGTGGTGCCAGCTCACAAATAGCCTCGCCAGAATTGCTCTCTAGATTCCTGAACAAATAAGACGCAAACTGCTTCTGGCTCACATGGGATTTAGCCCTCTTCGCTAAAGGTTCAGACTGCGCCAAAGCGATATGATAGTGACATGTAAGGTCCCATAAAGTTCGGGTCAGAAAAGTATTCGAATCTGGAGTATAAAGCTCGCACAAAGCGAAGAAATGCTTCGTGCTAACAGGCAAACCATACATGGTGGCACGAACGGCTGCATATAGACCACAAGCGTGCAACTCCTCGCTCCATCGACTTAAGACGTACTTCGTCATGCGAGTCCACCAGAGCTTGTCCAAAGAATGGACTTATCCATAAAATCTGTGACGCGTCACAGGCATCTCCCGTCCTAAAGCAGCGAGGCAATTCTTCAAAGTAGAAGCAGAGGCAAGAAGCTCGTTACGCGGCGGTGCATCCAACCCCAATACTCCAGGATGCGATCCAGTGATATGACTCCTGCTCGAACCAGGAGCTGCCTGATGAGTGATGTATCCACAGTGAACGCTCTCATGCTCCTCCGTCAAGCGCCACGACATCTCCCGTGTCACAGCCTGACGCCTGAGCTCAGTCAACGAACGATGCCGAGGAATCTTTAGCAAATATATGAAGCCACCGCCAGTTTTATAAATCCACTGCTCAGCGTCAATAAACACTGCATCCGGGTCTCTGGCAGAGTCGCCAAATAAAAAGTCAGTCTTCCTGAGAGGCTGAATAGAACTGGCATCCTTCACGAAAGGCGCATCTGTAATCAACTGTCGAAGAGCTCGATGTCCACCTTCCTTCACCACTTGGGCAACCTCTGTCGACGTGCCCGAAGCAAACTGAGGAGTAACTGGAATAGGGGAAAAATCGTCGGAAGTTGAATAATACTCGCCGCGATACCCGTACACCGCATGAGATGAAAATGCTCCGGAAGAATACTCCACTGAAAACAAACAAGTTAAACATTTGTTAGTCTCAATCATAAAAGGAAGTTGAACTCATCCTACAAATGGGTAAGATAGAGTCACTGCCTTATAAAGGGTGAGACGATTTGGCCACATTATGCACTTATAAGGTAGGATATATCAAAAAACATATCCCTGCCTTATAAAGCACAATGCAGCGTCAAAACGCCCCCTTTAAGCAAAACCTATCTTTAAAGCGTCGATCCTCACCAAGGAGAATCAAGGCTCTTCCCGATTGCCTCACCATGGAGAGCAACGTGGGGTAAAAAGGACTAATTTGCAAATTTCTAAGAAAAAAGGGACTAATTTGTAAATGTGCCAAAAATAGCTCACCAGCATAAGAGGGAGGCGCGCCATCAGCCGACGCGGTAGAGGATTGACCTCTCGCAATACGAAACATGGTGACCTGCAAAATAAATTAAGGGATCAGGAAAAAAAATTCCCTTTTTCTTGCAATTCTACCCCCCTGAAAGATGAGCTCGAGGCGCCAAATCCTAATCCTAACCCTCACATGCGACCCCGCAAGTTCAGAAATTGAATTAAGCATGAAATATGCTAAAATTGTGGAGGATTTACCTGAGGGAAAGCTCGAAGATCCGATAAAAATCAAATCTTGAAAGAGGCTCAGACCACGTGCTCGAGGGGCCTGAGAGGAATTTCTGTATAAAGATTTTTGAGGGATTCTTCAGTCTAAGATCCAAAGGAAGGCTAGATCTAAGGCAAATATGAAAGTTTGAGGGAGAACGGATGCAAGAGAGAAAAGAAAAATCCAAAAAGAGGAGAAGGTGTGGCCGGCCCTAGAGGAGGAAAAGAGAAAAAAAAAAGAACCCCTTTTATAGGTGAACCAGCCTTGAACCAGACCGGACCAGGTTGAACCAGACCAGACCAGTCCAAATCAGTCCAAAAGAGGCTAAACCAGACTGAACCAGGCCGAACCAGACTGAACCAGACCAGACCAGGATGGACTAGTCTGAACCAGTATTGAACCAGTCCTGAACCAGCCTTGAACCAGGTTGAACCAGTCTTGAACCAGGTTAAACCAGTTTGAACCAAATTTGAACCAGAATTCAAATTGAAGCTGAATCGAGCATCGAAACAACTTCAAATCGACCGAGGGTTCAGTCCTTGGTTTATTCTTACCTCTCCCGCACATTCGGAAGGATCAGAAGATTTTTTGAGCCGAATTACTGCTTTTTTTTTGGCTCATTGTCAAGCCGGTTCAGCTCATTATCAGGCCGGTTCAGCTCATTCGGGCACATAAATTACTCCAATAAGGTATACGAGTATAAACTATTCCCTATTTTTGGTTGAGAAGTTCCTAGAGAATATTTTTTCAAAATATATTCTTAAGGATAACTCAACAACGCTACGCCGGACAACGCGTCGCAAATAAAGACTCAACGCCAACATTCGAGGGTCAGTTCTATGTTGAACCAACAAACACGAGCTAAAGATCAGAAAATTAGGAACCGGCTTCAAATTCGAAATTCCGACAACGGTCAGACAATAAATGCAGCACCAGAAACCTTACAGACATTCGACAAAGCACCGAATAGCCTGAAGGATTGAAGGAATCAAGAACAGAAGCCATTCCAAGGTCCCGTTACACCGACTGAAGGTTGGGACAATCATATCCAAAGTATTCCAGACTCTTCTATAAAAGAACGAGACTGAAATACTTTGGAGGGGGTATCTGTAGGCGTATAAAATTACTTATAGGTCCCTTAGCACAGCTCGGCACAAACCGACGAACCATCGGGCGACATATCCAAACACGAGCGTCAGTCCACAACGCCGAAGCCAAGTGACACGCAACGAAGCGGATTAACGAGGCAACGAGGCTAACGAACCGCACGCAATGGAATACATCCATCTCAACTTCAGAATCTTGAAGCTTTGAAGACTTGGACTTTTCAGATCTGGTTCTTAGCGATCATCCACATAAAATAAGGCAGGAGTTCGAGAGAGATCAGATCTGAGATCTACACGGTTTCCCTCCGGATCAAAGCTTGGCCTTTGATCCCGAGAAGAGTCTCGATTTCGCTTGGTCGATTTCGATAACTACGGGCTATTATTTCCTTGGTGAAATAGTACCCCTGGCTGTTATTTCCTTCGTGAGATAACACCCGTCGTACCGTGTAGATCCGACTGGATCAAGATCGCGCGGTGGTCCACGAATTAACCCCGGCGCTGGCAAAGAACCCACACAAGCGAGAGACCGCAAAACAGGATCTCGCGATTCGTTCGACAAATAAGGAAAGTTATAATTTTTGTTTTCTTTTAATCTCGTTGTAACCGGATCTTATAAAAAGACCGGATCTTTGTAACCGATAAACTGTTAACAAAGGAATCAATGGAATCAATGAAGACAACAATTTTTCCCGCGAACATCGTCTTGGCTCCTTGAAACTATGAGAGTCATCAGATTGTAACTCCCGATGTTGATTGTGAAGGCTGTTGAATTAGAGCTTTCATTAGTTGTTGTAAAGGTCGTCAGATTGTAACCTTCTACGTGAAAGTCTTCAAATTGTAGCCTTCTGGAAGTCGTCAGATTGTAACTTCCATCATTGGTGTCTGATGGGGATAAACTATCTGTAGTGATTTTTAGACAGCCTACAGATATCACCGGAGAGATGTATTTGAGGGAGACATTTACATGTAACCCCTCTTTATTGTTTAATTTCTCATATAGATTATAACCTCCCTCATCAATTCTCTTAGGACTCGGTTGGTACACATGAATGAGAGAGAATGAAATATCAATTCTCATTTTTCATTCCTTTTCACCAAACACAACCTCCTTTTTGAAGTTAGAATGTTCATTCTTACTTCTCATCAATTATCACTTTATACGAGAATGAACATTCGCAATGAAACAAAGGGGAAACATGCATTCTCACTTAAGTGGGAATCAATAAAATATTAAATTTCAAAATATGTCCATTCCCATTTTATTTTATAAACTGTATCCAAACGTGAGAATGGAAATGAGTTTTCATTCTCACATTAATTCCATTTCATTCTTATTTCACTCGATTCTCGTGTACCAAACAGGACGTTAAGGGGCTGTTTGTTTGCATAAGAGGGAAGTGGAAAGCCTGTCAAAAGTGCCAGTTTTGACAGACTTTCTTGCAAAAACACATCTTTTTAGAGGCGTTTTTGCAAGAAAACCTGTCAAAACTGACACTTTTGACAGACTTTCAACTCATTTCCCCTTCTAAAAGAGGCAACCAAACGCAACCTAAAAAATTTAAAACAACTTCAGCAAATCAGATGCTGCCATGTGGCCACCGCGGGCTTCCGCTTGTATGGGCTCGTGGGATTACATATTTACATTGTTTCGCACAGAGCTCCAGTTATGCTGGAGCAAAGTGAGCGAGTTAACGTATCGTCCATGTTGGAGATGCTCGCAGCCCACATCTGCATATAAAGCCCAACCAAGTTATAACAAAAGGAAAATGAAATACACACAGAGATTACGACGTTAAAATTTTGTTGGAAAACAAAATATTTATTCAAAAGCAGGCCCAGAGCTGAGAAGGCCCATAATAGTGAATAAATTTGTGAGCAAAGGAATGTATTATTCGAATATGATTCGGAAACTTAAAAAATTCGGACGATGTGTGTCTAGCCCACATCAATCGTCATCAACTATATATTAACCGTCCTCCTATTTCTCTCCTCACTCTTCGGCCGCCACCTTCTTCTCCAAGAAAAAGGCGTTCATAAATTCAAAGAATCGTCTAGACAAAAAAAAAAAAAAAGAGTGAGAATATTCAAGAAAATCGATCAAAATTCAGAAGGTATCGCGAGATCGAGATCGCAATCAAAAGAGAGTTGAAGAGAGATGGTACTATGGGAATTGACGCTTGCAACCGCTTATTTTCTAGGGCTTAGGAGAACCTATCGACTCGCTCTCAGGATCCAGAAGCGCGTGATCGGCCCAAAACACCCTAAGATCCGCCAATTCGTTCATAGGTAACCATTTTTATTTTATTTTTTTGGTGAGATTTTCAATGAATTAATTTCACGGAGATCAAGTGTTTGATC